CCCCCCCCCCCCCCCCCGCCACTTGTGAACTTGGAACTTTGCCCTTACCTCGCCGAACACGCAATCGTCGACGGCGAAGGTGAGCTCGAGATCTTCAGGATCGTTATCTTTGATGTAGATCAACGAGTTATAATAGGCATTGTCAACGGATTCCATGTCAAAAAGCGTGATTTTCTTGCCGAGCATCATCTTGTAGAACGGCCGAATGAAAAATGCTGAAAAGGGGATACTTCCAAATTTATTGAATGAGGAATAACAGGAACGAAAAGGAAATCCAACTAACCGTCTAATAATTTTCCATGATAGATGGCCATTCCCATTACTTTTCCAATGAAATAGAAATATGAGAGGTGATCTGGATTGCAGGCAGCAGAGTGTGGATTGATTTGTAACGTATAGTTGTCCCTAAAACAATGGCCTATATGAGAAGTATTACTGAATTTTGCTGTTTTGAAACATATCCACGATCCTCTTCAAAAGACACTCCTTATCCCTGAGACAGAGTGGGCGTGGCATTTGAACAGAATGGAATACTCGTGGGATTTTCCAGTTTGAGACAGCTGTTATCTTGTTCTTAGCTTGACAGAGACACGACCACGACTGTTTCAAAATAAAAATATCTCTCCATAAGCACAGTCACCGCCACGTTTCTTTGAAGTACGCAGCCACCCTATCCCAGAAATTTCGAGTGTACAAACTTTGCTTTGAAATCGGTGGGTTCTGATCCTTGCCATGCGCGAGGTAAATGGGCCCGCAGCTGCGGTAGCGTTCCACTTTCTCCAGTTGAAAGTGCACGAGAACGAGACTGGAGGGGAGCGATACTCGCGTGGCGTCTCCTTACTCCGCCTGCACTGCCGCTGCCGCAAAGCCAGCCACACGCCTTACCATAATCGATCGCGCTGCTTGTCTGCGCCCTCCCATTTCTGGTTGTTTCTCATCGCTGAGTGCGTTCTCTTTGCGAAATCTAGGCTTTGACGCAAGTGCTGCACATTGAAACGTATGGAGACCAGCACCCAGATATCACTCTTAGACAGCCTCTTGAGTTGGCAGTCTTCCATGATTGGTGACGACCTGTCCCGAGACTGTAAACCGGAACTAGTGAAGCAACGAAGTACAAAATGCCCCCCCCCCCATCGCCGAACTGCGCCCTCCAGGCCCGTTTCCGCCCTTACTTCTGATCAGAGAAAATGGCACGCTGCTGCGGCCACGGACCCATTCGCCTCGCACATGGCAAGGACCGCCTCAGACCTAAATGTACGGTTTGCCTTCAAAAGAACGAAGAGCGCGAACAATCAGAGCTGCCGCGATCTAGTGTCGCCGAGTGGCCCCTCTGACTAAGTTAGCGCCATAAAATTCACTCTTGTGAACGATTTCTGGGATTCCTCATGGAATGACAATCAATGCATAATATTAGAATCTCAAATGTAATGCAATCACTTACGTCGCTGAATATTCAAAAAGGCCATAATACGGGTTGAAGATTTCATGCGATAACAGGAAGAACCATTCTCGCGTCACACCACCGTAATCCAACCCTGTTTCACCGAAGAACTCAATCCACAGTTTGTGCCGAAGCTCAGCTGGTGTCTGAAACGGCACCGATTGGATGGTTGCTAGATAAAGACTAACAGGGCCTTTGAAAGCCTGCTAATATTGAACTTTTGGTTCCTAATAAAGGAAAAAAAGTGCTCACCTTCTCCATGATATGTCTATAAGAGTCTTCGAAAAGTGTTTCCCTATGAACAATCATGTCACACTTGCCATTTGAACCTGCACGCGGCAATTTTGAATGTAAATATTCAACCTGTAAAATAACCATTAACTATGGAAATTGACAAAAGTTCTGCTCCCAACAATCAATAGACATACAGCGAAGAATTTTCATCCTAAAATTCCCCTCTAATGACAAACTTTACGCTCACCTCCGTGGATCCTGGTCCTCGCCATGCGTCAGGTTAATGGGTTCGCAGTTGCAGTGGTGGGCCACTTTCTCCGTTTCAAAAAGCATTGAGCGGGCCTGGAGGGTAGTGATAACCGGTATAAGACAAGAGAATCGTAATTTGCCGCGCTGGACGACATGGCGAGCGACGCCGCCCCGCAAGAGACGAGTTCTCCCGTCCAAGGGACGGGTATTGATATCCGAACAGCGTCAGCCGTGAGCGGTTTTTGACGTAGGTTTTCTGTTTATTATATTCTAGCGCCGATCCACGTTAATTTTGGCGACCAGTCGCACTTGGTTCTAAGTAAACCTAGATGGAAATAAAGCTAAAAAAATATATTCAACGGTTCCGTTTTATGGGATCTGCTCAACGAGAAAGTGACGCGTAAGTTGAAATTTCCGCTCCGCCGACGTATCGTCATGTGACATTTTCGACTCTCATCCGCAGACGTCGCTGCGCATGCCTCGTCTCAGTAATCCTGGGTGGGCTGCTTGTTCGCACTGAGCCAGGGCGAATTCCACCTTCCCTAGATATAGCAAACTCTATCTCCGTTGCCTAACCCTTTCACTTTATGATTGCTTTATACGACTGCAGTCTGCACATTGAGCATAGCGCCCGCAGAGTAATAGGAACAGCGCTTAGCAACACCAGCCCGCTCCCGGGCTTGTTTTTGAGCGAGAAAAAGGCGTCTACTGCATCTACGGAACCATTTATCTCCACATGCAATTACTGCCCTCTTAAAGTCTAGTAACAGTCCACCCAGCTATCTGTACAGTCCCTCATTAACGAATTTATTAGCATATGTTAAAGTATGCGGAGATGGTGTATGGCAAGTGGGAGCGCTCACCATTTTCTCGCTCACTCGTAACGGGTTCGAATCCCGGTCGACTCTTCGCCAGCCACCAGCCTTCTACTCCTTGGACAGTAGGTACTCGATTCATTGCGAGGCAATAAAAACAACTGATTGTACTCGCTGCCACCGCAATGTCATTGCTACAGGCCACATCGCATTAATAACCCACTTACGATTTGAATGGTAAGTAGAATCCGTGGATACCAACAAAGGATTCATCAACGCGAAGACTTTATCCTTCATCCTTTAATGTTAAGTTATTTACAGGTCAAATCGTACGTATCAAAGAAAGAAACCTTCAGCCTATACATGGAAGGAAGGATCTGTGAAAAGTTCACGAACCTTCCTCTTGTAATCTCTAGAGTACGGTATAGCCGGCCAGCGTATCTTTCGTCTCTCGAACGTGATCCTGCAAAGCTACAATAATTGGTCGAAAGAAAATGCCAGAAATAATAAATAATAAAGGCATAGATTGAACATCATAGCTCCCATTGGAGCATGGCACATCACTTTTAGTGAGATTCTTTAGCGAGTTCGCATACCCCCCCACCCTTGTTTAGGGTGAAATTGACCCCCCCCTCCCCATTCCTCCTCTGATCGCAGTGTCTCGAAGTCAGGGAGCGACAGTAGCCGCGAAGGGATAGAGTGCCTCCTTTCTCGATACCGTCCACCCAATTTCCCGAAGTTTCCCGTACCCAAAATTTTCTCCTAGCGGAGCGGGCGCGTTGATAGAATACATGACAGAATAAACTGCAAAAAAGTCAGCACCTCTCTTTTTGAAGGCCAAAGAGGAAAGATACGCCCCGTCGCCCTTCGAACACCGAGGAAATACAGATATCCCCAGGAGTGAATACAATACCCTCCCCCCCTTTACAACGTCCCTGGAACAACAAAAATCAACTGTCGAAAAAAATTTTCTTCGGTTCAAATGGGACCCACCTCCCAGCGACCTAATACGACCCCCCCCCCCTGTTGATGAGTCCTCACCAACGATGTGCCCTGGTTTGAAGGTCAGGAAAGATTAATCAAAACGAACCTCCCACTGGGTTCTCCTGTTGTTATGATCGATAAAGAACACTCTGCCATCTGTGTGAACCTGTAAGATGTAAAGCTGATTTGTAGGCAAAAGATTTGTGACCAGTAAGGACGAACCCTCTGTTCCCATCCTTCTGGTAAAGCACCGATTTCGTCGTCCGTCTTTCCCGAAACCGGTCGACTGGCCGCTATACCGGTTCGTGGATCCAGCCATGTAGTGGTCTTCGTGCGATGATCGATGAAGAACGTTCGACCGTTCGGAGCTATCTAAAGCATCAAGAAAAACATCTACCTTCTTTGAAATTGGCTGATTGAATGGGCGTGGGTGGATATAACATGGGAGAACAGAAAACGCGAACAACTGTGTCTTCAGAACAGCAAAATATTGCGGTTTTTTTGACAGTCAGTAGGTGGACATGGAAGACTATGCAGTCGGTTCGCTGCGGGTGTTGGGGCGTGTCAGGTGGTTGGGTTTGGCGCGGCGCCAGCACGTTTTCCACCAATAATTGTCGTTTCCCCCTTCCTCACGACTTGGAGGAAACGGACTGATGCCGCGTCTAACCCACCACCGCACGCCACAGCATGCGCAGCGAACAGAGCCTCGTCAACATCCCTGATTGCAGGTATTCGCCCGCCCCACTCCAGACAACAATGAAGTCCAATCAATACACTTATGAGATGCGCCACGCATTTTACCCTCATCCAGCGTCCTAGTGACTGCTCAATGCGATCTTGTCTATTCAATGAGTTGCGTGGGAAAGCCCACATAGAAATCAGCCCTCCCTCCTTACCCAGGGTACAGCTTCGGAATGGATGAAATGGCGTTGCTACTACGACACCTCCCCCAAACTTTCTTCTTTTGTAGACTCCCCTACCCCTTCCCCTTGTCCATCCTATCATAGTGATAGCAGCATACAAGGCACGTCGCGCGATGGGAGACCCAGCGAAGGGGTTGCATTCGGTGGATGGGGAGGGGCCGTATTCGAGGGAAGTGTTTCGTCTTTCCTCGGTTTTTGCTGTTTCTATTGCGCTAGCTCCAGTAGAGTTTAAGAGAGGTCTATGTACCTCTCTCCTTCCATTTTACGGCAGTGGTTTGTTGGAAAAGGGGAGATTTCTGGGGAGAAAAACTTCTAAAAAATGGTAAAAAGTTGAAAATCAGGAGGACGGTAGGATCGCGATTGGGGAGGGGCGTAACGCAGGTGGGTGTGAGCTGAGGAATGTTGTATTTTGCTGGAAATTTCTCCAGCGGCAAGATGTACCTCGGTAGTATAGCAGTTCTGTGGAGTCGCCAACTTGGTAAATATATAGAGCATGTGAAACGGGAAAAATTGGCAAAAAGTCAACGAAACGGAAAAACTTCAGAAAATTTCGGATTGGAAAGATTTGCCTCGAAGTGAAATACGACCTCCTCCCCGCCATAAGAGACACATTAACTTACTTGCATATCCCACCCTTCCGGTAACGGTTCATCTTCAGCTTCTCCATTTGCTTGAGTTCCGCCGGCGAAATTGGAGCGCATTGCGCTGTCTATCTGCAACTAGGAGAAACCAAATTAAAGAGAAGGCAACAAATAATTAGTAATAAGAACGCTTCTCATTGAAACTCTCATGCTTTCAACCCCCGAATGAGTGACCAGAGATGTCACTTACCGCGTCGAGTTGACTTCGGACCGCATCAGGACTGGAATTCGTGACCTGACGCCGTCGCTCGTAGTCATCACGTCGCCGTCGGACTTCATCTTCAGTGCGCTCTCGTTCTCTGAACATTCTCAATTTCAATTTACCAATCTCTCATTCTATTCATATATGTATATGTTCTGGATTGAAGTGTCTGATCCCACCCTACCAGAGAAGCTGGCGCTAAGTATAGTCTTGATCTCTGGAAAAGATAGAGCATGCGAAGTGGCGTGAGTTCGATAGCAGCCAGAACAGCCCCCCCCCCCCACTAACTGCTGTGGTCTTATGAAGCCGTCATTGGCGGAAAAGCCGCCATGGGAGCGCTCCGATCCTGGCTTCCGTCACACGCCCTAAGGATTGCAGGGACCATGACTCGCGAGTGCGAGCAGATGCCAGCGAGACTAGGTCACGTCCATTTTTCTTTGCTCATCTGTGCATTTTTGACGAGATAATGCTCTGTAAATTTGGCTGACGTCAGTGAGAGCACAGAAGCACCAAATGGGAGTGACCTAGTGTTGCTTCCCACTGCCACTTCCCCGCCCCAACTTCAAAAACCTTCAAAATAAGACATACTCTTTCGACATGATTCTTATTTCCCTTCCCGCTTCATTTTTCTCGAATTGTGATTTGGTGCTGAAGATGAGGAAAAAGATACAAAGTTGCACTGGTAATAAAATTCGAATTCAAATTTTTTTTCAGTTCACGATTTGAGTTCAATCTCAAGATGAAGAATCGATGATTAGGTAGTGAGTTAACTAGGTGGGAGCAGATTGGACATTCCCTGCTCGTCTGCATGCTTTTTGTTGTCTGCCATGCTCTCTGAATACTAACTCTTCGGGAGGGCGCAGACGAACAGAAAATAGACGTGGCTAAGTCTTGATTCCGACTGAAAAATTAGCTACGAAAAAGTTACCGCTGAAATGCTCGCATGAACTTACACTCCGTTCATCTGCGATGGTCGATCCCAATGTGTCGTACGTTGTAGATGATTGACGTAAAACGTACGGCCATTGCCATCTTCTCGTTCTTCCCATCCTTCAACAAATCATTTTTCACTATTATTTAACTTGAAAAAACCATTTAAATTGCGGTGTTAGGAATTGACGAGCGGTAATTCTATGCCGATTCTAGCGCATTTCATCGCCTTGCCTCAATTACGCTTGCTAGGGCTACACTCAATATAAAAATATCTGTAAAAATAATAATAATAATAATAATAATAATAATAATATATTTATTTTATATTATTATTATTATTATTATTATATATTAAATAATAATATTACAAAAGTATAATGATATAATGATAATAAAATAACACGATTTTCATGAGACTCTAGGTTAAGCAGTGAGGACAAGGCGACTGGCCGATCGCACATGCATGGAAAACAAATCTAACTCCAGATCGGATCTCCCCCCCTCCCCCCTTCCTAGACCAGCCAAGTACACCAAGATGTTATAGGTACAAGCACTTCAATTTTTGCAGAAAAAGGAGGAACAAACGTCTTTTTCTCGCCCGAGGAACAGTCTTGGTACAGCGCTCCTGTCTATAGTTCGAATAACCGCCGCATCCGGTCGGCGTCATCCGGAGATACAGGTGATAGTCAGGCAGGGGGCCCACCCTGCTGCTGCTTTTATTTTACCAATAGGCCGTTCGCGTAGTGGGCGTACCAACATGCTGTGTAAGAGCAAAAAAGCGGAGAAATGCCCAGGTTTAAATTCGAGCTCGTTGGTCACTTCGCATAACCCCACGCCAATAGCCCTTCAAAGTTCCACGAATTGGCCCCCATCGGTTGGCCGCCGCCCCTGTGTGTAAATTCGTCCCCTCCCCCCCCCCCCCCTTAGCCGACTACGCTCGTATTCTCACCAGAGAGGGGAAAGCCTGGGCCACAGCTAAAAACATCACCCGTTGGACGTTTTCTAGACTTCTTCCTCCTTTTATTCGCATTTCCTTACCTAATGAAAACATCGACATCATCAAAACTGGTCCTGCAGTCTTCGTCCCGCAACCGCACTTCTACCCATTCAACGATGTAATAAATTTTTGTTTTCGCAAATGGCAAAGGTGACCTAAGGTTGCTCTATTTACGTCACTCTACATTCAAAAGCACGGCGCGTTCAAAAGTGTGTTGTGCGGCTTAAACTAATGACAAGATGGCGATTAACACAACAGTGAAGAAAAAGCAGAAAACCCCGCTCAAAATGCTTCTATAGAACCGCATTGCTGAAGCGCTTTCGTACGCACAAGGCTAATAAAGCGCGTGGGTCGGATGAATTCTCCCTTGCTGGTGTCAGCTCTTTATCACCTCACTCTCTCCCCTCGAAATAGAGAATAATAGAACAACTGCACCACCAGTAAGCTAATGAAATTTGGGTGTTGCAGTGGGCGGAGCACTGCCTTCTTCGCGAGCGGGTCGTGCTTTTCTCACGTACTTTGAGCTGCAAAAATATGAAGTACATCCTCGATGCTTGCGGATTACCTTGTTCAAAGAAGGCCTCTCCACATAAAATGGACGCGGAGCGTGCCTTTAGGTCTAATCAGCCTCTGTAGGAGCAATGGTGTGTCCCTCCAGTTGAAGATGTCAAAATTATTTTCACTTCACTATGAGCCAATTTAAAAATTGCGGCAGAAATGGAGCTAAAATTTGAACGCCCGTCAAAAGACACGATGAAAGCGCACAGAATGATAAGAGGTACAGCGCTCGGCATTCATTTGGTCTTTCTTGGGATGCGCCACATGTCCTAGTTCCGTTGGAATCGTAGCGGCATTTGGAAACACTGAATAGTTGGTGGCGTACGCTGGCAGTTGGTGTATAACCCAGGCCCTGCCTTTTCCGCCAGAATAAGACCCTCTCCCGTCGAGATGGCGATGAATCAACTCCCGAAGGTGAAAGAATTGAACGTGTGTGGCTTATAACCAATGAAGAATTGCATTCTCACGATGCTGCACTTCATATCCCGGAAGTTTGTGGTGGCCACTGCGCTTTTGGTGGTAAATTACAGTTTCGGAACAACTGAAATCATACCTTTGTGCAGCACAAATCAAGGTTCTTAAATGGAAAGTTCCTACAGCGTGCTTCAGCTTAGGGAGTGCACCAAACGGTACTGGTGAAAGTTATCACAAGAATGCTGAGTTAGGGGCAAAAGTCCTACCCCGGTCGAACCCGCACCTCACGCTTTCCGGGCGAGTGCGCTATCCGTTACGCCACCAGATCCGCTAGCTTTGTACTGGTGAAGTTTGTTCAGGCTCCTGGTGTGATGAGCTGTAAATTATGTATTAAAGTGGCTACTTGTAATCCGATGCTTCCCACAAGAGTGTTTCAGGACAGAAGACAGAAGAAGCCTGTTTCGACTCGAGAGGGCATTTGCTATGTGGCTAGTTTTTTCGCTAGTTTGCAAGGACGAGCCTACAGAGCAAATGCCTCCGCAACTGCGCCGAAAAACGCATTTCGCGCCACGTTCGAATGAAATGCGCAGCCACGCCTCCCCATATCAAGGATATGGAGTACAGCACGCGTGAAATAGCGCCGCCACTAGCGACTGCTTCCCCTTCTATCGCTAAAAAGGAAAAATATGAATAAATGAAATTTGTGAATTTAGTGGTTAATATCGTAGTCTACTTTCAAGAAATCATGATAGGAACGAAAAAAACGCAATCAAACCCCGATAAGTAAAACAGAGAAACAAAAAATCAACTCCGAAAAACGACTAGAAAACAAGGAAGTCTAGCAGACTGTAGATATACCTTCAGGCATGGAATCGTTCACTTGCAGATCACTTGTGGACTCATTCGGCGACTGATTCGATGGTAAATAGTACATCCCTATCCACAGATTACCGATATTCCTAAATGCACTTTTTCAGAACAGGAAAGGTAGTCACTAAATATTGAGCTTTAGAAAGCTAGCTGAAAGTCAAAATTTAATGACTGGACCGTGTTAATACCCAAACTGTAGGGAGAATCGGAAATTTAGACGGTCAGTGAAAGGAACGTAGCCGCAGTTCGGCTTGGTGGGGGCAGCAAATAGTATTCAGCGAAGCCTGTACCAGCTAAGTGAAAGCTATAAATTTTTGCAACCGAAGAAGCTCACTTGTTATTTTGCAGTTTCACATGAGTTTACAGGCCTCACCAAATTGGTTATTAACAAGAACTAGGAAAGAACAAAGTGCAAAATGCCCCTCCCAAGTCGGTACAGGAAAGCGCCTATGATCGCAGTCCTAGTGAACTGTTTGATAGGGAATTTTCAGAAATCAAATTATGATAAGTGACGTGATCCCAGAGGTCATCTCTTCCTGTGTAGGGCACGCAGATGATGTTACGTACCTGTGTCGCCCACCCTTCAACGGATAAGCAGATGGCGGTCGTGATTCGCTGCCAATATTTTCTGTTGCCAAATTGAATTCCACTGATCCTAGCAAGGCATCCTTCCGCTGAAAAAATCAAGAGATACATTACTATGAGCTTTTCAGCTTGCACACCAATTTTCATTTATGAGAAAAGAGCACGGATAAGATCGGAAGACATAATCTCTGTTCAAGCCAAGTTCCCATGGGCATACTCCATGCTGATCATATGGGCGGAGTCAGGCTGCCCTTGAGTCTCCCTCACTGGTACGTCTCTCCTTTCAAGACGACAAGAAGGATGATATATCAATGAGGAAGTGCAATAGTGAGCCAGTCTCCGCCCACATGATCAACGCAGAATGTGCTTCAAAAATACAAATCACCACTATTGGAAAAAATGGACATCACATGGTGGGTGCACTTGCTAGTTCCATAGATCACTATCCAGGTAAGACGGCAAGAGAGTAAGTTATGTAAGTTAACCGCAGCAAACAAAGGAAACTAATGAAAATGCAAAATGCCCCCACCCCGAGCCGAGCAGCGCCAAAAAACCGCTGAAGAAGATATAAACTAAAAAATTTGTGAACAGAGACACCCAAATAATTGAAATTCAAGTAGTCTGCTCGAAAAATTCTACTCAAAAAATGACGTTCCGCACAATGTACAATAGATGCAAAGGTACACGTTACCTACACGCATAATGTTATGCAAATCGGGATCAACCGGTCAGATCGGACCCGTTTTGCATGCGAAAAGTCGTCCATGGCATAGTATTGATTTTTACTGAATATTTGTACAAATCCATGACGACAGAGGAAAAACGTACGATCTTATTCTCATCGAAAATTAGGAACTTCAAGCAGCATTGTCTCGTCACGCGTAACGTCACGATGGAATTCCATACTGGATCTCGTGTCTGAAAAAGCCAGCTATTAGGGCATGGGAAATTCATGCGGGCGAAAGTGGGAGAGTGCCAAGCAGGGTAAAAGATTCAATTTCTCACACTTCTCGGATTGGTCCGAGGACCAATCCCAAATACACCCTTGTACCAGCCTCAGATCGATTATAATGGACTAAATTTCAAAAGAACGAGAAGCGAAGAGGGACAGCTAATGGCAAGGACCGGGGATGTTGCAGGTTGAGATCCCCGCAGGAGGCCGTATTTGGTCGCTGGAGGAAAGGAGGGCAGGGTACAGCATCGTTGTGTGAAACAACATAGGGGGTCGTACTTTCCAACTGGGAGGGGGTCGTATTTGGTTCGTTGTTGTTCCCCTCCCGCAGCTCGACGGAAAATCTGTGGTGAAAAACTGGAAATTGTGGGGAATCGATAGTAGGTGCTGGCAAGGGGGGGGTGGTCGAAGGCGCGTACCAAGACCCTCGCTCGAGGAGGGGGGTCGTACTGGCACTACCATTTCACATATCACGATGCTGTACCCTGAAGGAGGGTGTCTTTGTCTTGATATTACCGTTTGTAGATTCTTCGCCGGTTGCCTTTTTCAAAAGTGCAAAGGCCGAGGAGGACCTAGCACTGATGAAAAACACAACAGACACAGTTTTTTTATTTTTTTTTCAAAAAAGAATGGAAACGGGTTTCTTACAAGCTTCAGCAATTTCCACTCTTGGCTCATCACTGGTGTCCAGCTAGACATCAAGGCAAATCTTATGGGACGGAGTCGCCGCTACTATTGTGACTTCTAACGTGATGCGGCCGTGTTTGCTTACAGATTTAAAAGAAAAGGGTGCACCAAGAGTGACGGCAAACTCCGCCCTTAGGGCAGCGTGAACTGCGGCTTTGTTTACTTTTGAAAGGTCAATTAAAGCGAAAGGAAATGAAGCGGCTTATGGAATCAGTAGACAAAAATGGTTCGTTTGACCTGTTATTAGACACCGAGCTTATTCTGTTCCGCACGGCCAGTCCGGGCGATGCGTGGAATGGCCAGAACAAGGTACGAAGCAGTGAAGGAATTTCAACCCACGCCGCTCAGCACTTTCGGTAGGATGGATCACGCTATCGAATCGAAGTCGAGAGAAATACCAGTCTTGAAGAGAAGCACATACCTTCTTCTTCTTTTCCAAAGTGATTTCATCGATTTGTTCGCCATCGGCTCTTTCTAGACGCACCACACAGTATGGACTGACGACGCCAAACAGGTCGCGCTTACCCAATCGTTCGCCTTTCACCACACGTACACGTAATAGTTCAGTTCCCTGAAAAGTTACTCTATGAAACACTATCTGTAGGAGAAAATCAGTGAGCAGTTCGATTTGGGGGTGGGGGCATTTTGCACCTTCGTTGCTTCAGATCATCTGTCACTACTGTACAAGAGTTGACCAGTAGTCTCTACAAAATTTGACTGGTAGCACTTCACGGCTACACAAGAGTTCACAGGTCTCCACTTGATGGCTCGACCCGTCGATGAGAAGTAGCAAAAATGCAAAATGCCCCCCTCGCCGCTTGCTGAAACTGCGCCCAAAATTCGCCCATCTCCCACCAAGCAAAACTGCGTCAAACTCAGTTTCACGGTTGAATGATTTAGAAATGTCCAAGAAATAGAAAACAAGTCTACGACAAGCAAACATAATAGAAGTACAGGGTGTCCCCTCCGGAAAGACGTCGGCAGTGGGCACATAGCTATGACCGAGAGCAACTGCAGTGGGCAAATTAGACCTTTAAATAAAATTTTAGTACCGATGTGGGCAAGTGAATGCCACCAGAAATAATCCTCAGTATTGTAGGGGACCCTTCCAGCTAGTTACTGATTGGCTCAGGACAAAAAGAGCCAAGGAATCCCAACCAAGTTACATCGCAAACTTCTACCGCATTGCGCATGGATCCATACTCAAAAGGTTATTTGGTACATCTTACACGTTAGGAACCATTCCTATGCCAACCAGAGGACAGAACTACAGTTATCGACGTTTGGCTCAGTCCCCTTCGTAGTGGCTCCGCACTCTACTTCCATTCTGAATTGCGGCACTTTGAATGCGATTTGGCCCATACAGGGGTCCGTGGAGAGCAGGCAATGTACATGGTTCTGGCTTTACTGAGTTCCGTGCCTCCACCGCACGTGCAAGGCCTGTACTACGACATCTTGAAGAAACGGAAGTTGACTTGGCCCGGCAAATTTATCAGCATTTGGTGCCCAACAGCACGCATTTGGTAGGCTGCCGCAGACCTCACATCACACACGAGTTGATAACGTCGCAGTCCTGAACGCGGCATCGAGAGGCGTGAAATGAGCACAATAGAACTGCGTTTCCGAAAATGACAGGTTCAGGAAGAAAACCATCGCTGATACGCTGTGGGAGGGCTCATTTCATGAAAGCGCCGCCCCGTCTGATTGCGACCACATCGTACTGTCAAACTACAAACTTTGGTGTACGTTTAACATAACGATCTTGGTTCCTACGATAGAACTCCTTCCCCTTCGGACCGAACTCTTTACTGATGCGGAACTTCAGACTTGGACAAAAGTCAATAAAATAATAAAAGTCGTCCTACATAAAAAAACGAAGAAACAGTCTGGAAAGGGGGTAAAACGCTACCTCTATCGTATTGATATGTCATGAGACGTCAAGCGACGTCATGGAATCTCCTCACATCGATATCGTTGCAATCAGTCGGGGCGGCGTCAGGAGGCGTGGAATGAGCCCATCCTTGGCTGCGTTTCTACCAACAGTGCTCGATTCAGGAAGGAAACAACCAATGGTGAAGACGCTGCGCGTAGGCTCATTCCATGCCTCCTGATACCGCGCCGGTTGGTGGAGGACTACAGGAACTGTACACTCCTTAACCAGCAGACAAAGTGGGTGTGACTGCGTCCTTTGTTTGAGCACAGCGCAGGATACGTTTCTATGGAATGATTCCCATTTTCAAAGACCACAATTTTGCCAAACCAGCGCTATCTCATCAAAAGCGCAGCCGCAGCGACGTTCGAATGATGTACGCAGCCACGCCCTCTCAAGCTTCGGGATACTGTACATGATATCAATATTGACAAACGGGACTGCAGACCCCTACTGGAGAAGCGCCAAAAAATAATATTACCTCAGTGGTGGATCTGTCGATGCCGTGAATAGCCGTGGCGACCATCACTATCCGTCCAAGAACAAGCTGGTGAGATATAGGGGGCGAGTAGAAAATAGCTAATTGCTATGTCAGCTAGCGAGTAATTGGGTAGTAGGAAAGACGTTGATTAAATTCGAAGAGATTTGTGCAGTTAGTGAAGTCGAAGAGCAAAGCGAATGAAAATGATGACGAGAGAATAAGGCGATAAGCCGCTCCAGTAAGTCAGTTAGATTAGAAATGAATATACTGCGTGAGAATACAACGGCAGTTGATTGAGCAATTGATTGATAGCAGCCTAGTGTGATATAGTGTAGTATCGATTGATGAATCGATTTGTTTCTTGTCGAAATTGCCGACTCCCGATCGATCACATTTACGCGAGATATCGGCGATATCGCTCCAAAAATAGCATCTGTCTGGAATTATTGATGGTTATTAGATGGGCACGGAAAGCCATAGAAGATCAATACGACGACGAAAAAAACCTCGAAGACAGAAAACGGCGCCCTTTGGCTAGAGAGGGTAGGGTCAGAGACCCCATGCACGAAACTGGGATCGGGAATCGCCGCCTGAACGCCTGGAATGCCTCTTTTTGCACTATGCAGTTGGACCACCCACTATGGATTTCTCTAGGCCAGGATATCCTTGGGATCTCCGTTACGGCAATTCGAAGGAGTTCTTTATCCGCCCACCCCCTTCGCCCCTCCTTGGCCGAACTGCGACGAAAGCAATCATAAAAAGAAATAATCACAAGAGCATTCGTGCTATTGGAAGAGGATAGAGAGCAATCGGAAAAGCATTCCAAATAATGATGAGGAAAATCGATACTTTAATACAAAGAAATATTTCGCTAGAATTCCACCTTGGAGGAGCGATTCAATACAAAAGCCTCTATACTGCTCTTGTTCGCACTATGATGATGCAATGTAGGGGATTAGGTTAAAGCTATATGCGGTCAGGAATCCCATTACGCGCGTCAAGGAAATCCACCATAAACGGCGGGCCGATGGATGTCAAGCTGGGACTCACCTATTATGCACATGAAGAAGTACTGACTTGATAGGAGAAGAACAGACCGCTTATGCGATTTGCGACCGCGCGCAGCACAACGATCCATCGGAGTTACGCGAGGGCTGTTTTTAACTAGTAAGGGCGTAATGGACTTCAGAATATTACTTCGCATTATAGCTGCCCTTCTAACCTTGCAAACGAATTACACAGGTCGTTAGCGCAGTCACTATGGACTAAGCTGCATCGCGTCGGCAACTAAAAATTGCTGTAGCTGTACAGATGACTCCGGTCGCAAAAGGGAGGCAAGGACTATGCAGGGTTTAAAAGTTCGTAAGGCGGTTCATTGGTAGTATCGTTGCATCAGTCAGTCTCAGTACTTGTTCTGTGGTACAAAAAATGCAAGACCCTCCGTGTACAGAACTCAGCGCTCACTTTGTCGCAGCTCGTTGCGATTACAGAACAAATACAGTCCAAGTACAGTACTTGTTTCTGGAAAGATCCAGTTTTGCCGAATATCCTTCGTCTGATCAAAGAAGGGAGGAGCTTTCCCATAGTCAGCAAACTCTTTGCAGAAACAACCCTAGGAGCACAACCTGTACCACTAACAAACTTAGCATTTGTAGCTGAAATAGTTGTGAGAGCACTCCCACCCCGTCCCCTCCCCCTCCTCCATTAAGGGACTGGTTATTAACAGTGAATCTATAGAAGTACACTGCTAGGAAAGCTTAGGTCGAAGACATCAAAAGGAGTTGGGACAAGTGTTCGGAGTCCATGCGCCATACATCCTGCTTCCATTTGGAATCGTAGAGCATTCTGGAACGCGGTTCGGTTTGTACAATGACTTGCGGGGGTCAGGGCCGAAGTACAGTTGCTTGCAGTGTCAAGTAGCCGGGGGTCGGCCCATCCCACGCCTCCTGACACTGTCGCCGGATTGCGACGACATCTACTATACATGTCAGTATTTTTATGTTCCCACTCATCTCAAACAGCTTGAATCTAGTTAGCCGGCCCCGGAGGAAAGGTTGGTATGATTGGTCTGGGCGGCGCATGGTAACCAGTGACTGCCAGTACACCATTTCTGTTGAAAAAACAGTGAAGAGAAATTGGTTAATGCGGAATATCTTAAAACGAAAAGATTCCCGAGAGAGTTCAAGGGCACATTTGGCTCGCACACTGTATGGGGGACCACCAGATGATCAGAGGACTTTGATCTCAAAGATGTTGTCAACATTGAACCTTTCCGGGAGAAATGTGGAGGGTTTGATCGATATGGATATCTTTGAAGTCGCTGTGTCAAACAACGGGGATCGTATTCCGCCGCTAGGAGAAAGGTTATATTTCGCCACTGAAGAATTTTTTTGATTTTTCCGTTTCAGAAGCGCTATATATTCCCCTAGATGGAGGCACAACAATTGTTTCTGTATAGAGCCATCTGATCTGCTCGACGGCATCTTTTTGTGAATGTGATGGGAGAGGGAAGGCAGGTTTCGCTAGGGGGGAGCATACCGAGAGAGGAAACTTCCAACGGGAGGATCCGCTCCGATGCGAACCCCCTCCACCAACCGGAACGAGTACACATCAGGCTATGGAGAAGTTGGAACGGGACCCTCCTTCCCCCCTCTCTCTTCTTCATGGCCCATTTGTTGAGATTTAAGGACAACGGTCCTCAAACCTGGATTGAGTTGAGGACAAGGACCAAAACATCATTCAATGGAGAAAATCCCAGAATCGAAATCCTTCTTTAAAAATTCTATCAAAACTAAAAAGGAGAAATAAAAAGTCCTATTGAGGAGGAGTTTACGACATCTGAGGCGGCATGAGAGCGATAGATGCCATAGGCAGCAGAGAACGGCAATGCCTCAAAAGAAACGCAGCGCACTTTCCGATTAAGAAGGATTAGATTTCAGTAGAAAAAAAGAAAATATAAAGCGCTTCCGCAGTTTTTTCGCCCCCGAGATGTTGCCTGAAGGATAAGATAGGAGAATTGATTGATTCATTCGTTCCCTGAAGTGTACCCGAGGGTGTGCTAAAATAACTCAGAAAGAAACTCCTGGCGATTAATGGTGCAGCTAGGAAGCGTAGAAAAAGAGAGAGTATGGAAAAAGAACAAAAAAGCAGAGCGCTTACGTGGTTGGGAGACCACTCGAGGCACATTTACGTCCTTATCGCTGAAGTAAGTGGAGGCGTGATAGCGGGGCGTGGGCTTTGGCTCGCCAGCCCTATTTCCACCAGTTGTGGTCGTTTGCCCCCTTTAACTATTGGAGGAGAACTTGCTAATGCCGCTAAAACCCAATACTCCTGACACACCCAGCATCCGTGGCTAACGAGACTATAAGTCCCTTCCCCTAACCAACACTAAGGTTTAGAGCGCAGATGACCGGAGCCATCGAGGGATAGTCGCGCAGATGATACACAGCCTCCACTGACATAAGCCGTTACCTTGGTTGGGGAAGGGAGATAGGGGCGAGGGTATCTTATGGTCCCCCTCCTCCCCGAACCTCTCGCCAACTACGGCAGCGCCTAAAGCAGATAGGAAGTGAAAGAGTCCAGAAACATCCACAGTCCCACAGCCAGGGCACGCCTTAAAATCGGGGAAAATTTTGCAAAATACGACTCCCTCAAAAGCTCACCTTTATCACGAGCCATTTCCCCATACCCCATTTTCTAAAATTCTCCCCAGCTTCTGGTCGGTGGAAGAGGTGGGGAGCTTTGAGAAAAAATGTTTTTCCTAATTTTCGGCTTTTCCCCTTTTACGCGCGCTGTCCACCTCCGCCCCCTCACTGCTCGATGATTGTTTTTCGGAAAATTTCGGGAAAAACTAGAGAATTTGTGAGAGAATTTTTATAGTTGGGGAGAGGGGGTCCCCATCTCTCACAAATTCTCTAGTTTTTCCCGGAATTCTCTGAAAAACAATCATCGAGCAGTGAGGGGGCGGAGGTGGACAGCGCGCGTAAAAGGGGAAAAGCCGAAGAAGTTAGCAAAAACATTTTTTCTCAAGGCAATTGTGACCCCCCCCCACCTCTTCCACCGACCAAACGCGACCCTGGGAGTTCCTAACGTGCCACGTGCCGTGACGGCAACATTGGTTCCCTAGGTGGAGGAAATTAAAAATAACGTACAATTAATTAAATTCTACTTTTCAATTTACAAATTATAGAATATGGACGAGTGTGGGCCAGGAGGTCCGACTTGTGGCGGCACCACAACCAGGCATGCAACATTTCCCTAGCTATTTGCTCACAGGGAATCAGTGGACCTTGTAAGTAATCGGTTCAGGAATCAAAAAGCTCCAAGAGCCTGTCCAGTAGATCCTATAGCTCCTCATAAATGTTCCAAGTACGTGATATTTTATACATGAACGGGAATGGCAGGAATGTTCATAGCAATTATGGGGAATTTCGTAGTTTTTTCAAGTTGAATGCGAACATAATACTCTCTCTGCTCAACTTATCGCTTAAGAGTGGTGCGATTCTCCGCCCTCCAGCATTCTTGTG